GACCCTTAGCAACAACAAATATCTCACACCACATTGGACCTTTTTTAAAGTTTTAAAAGTTTAGGTATTAACTTGTGAAAATAAAAAATTTTGGGTACCAAAAAGTAATTTTACCATCAAATTTTATGGACTTATTTGTAGAAAAAATAAATTTTAGGTACTAAATTGTAAGAAAAAATAATTTTGGGTACCAAAACGTAATTTGTAAAAAAGTAGTGTGTTAATTAGGGTCGACCCACTGACCCGGCCCTTCACGACCCGCCCCAACCCTTGAGGATCAGACAGGGTAAAAAAGGAGACAGGGACGGGACGGGTTAGTTATACATCTTGACTATTTAGGGACGAGTCAGACATGATCAGGAACAGATCAGGGACGGGACAGACAAATTTTCAGCCCAACTTTGAACTGGTAAAGAATGATTGGCAAGCTCCATAGTCCATACAAATAAGTATCCGAGCAAACGTTTCCTACTGGGTTCTTACCGTTTGTGAATCTTGGTTATGCGTGAAACCAGTGAGGGGGAGGAAGATCAATTGGATGAAGGCAAGATCATAGAATAATACACAATGGACCCTGAAATGGATGTTAAAGAATGGAATCCTTCTAGTGACAAGTTCATCGATTTCAAATGAGATAAAACTACTGTAAGATGTTGAAAGGCATTCAGTTACCTGTTCCATTTTTTGGTTTCTTTCATATGGTTCTACAGCGTAGGTTTCCTACTATGTGTTGTCTTCCTCACAAGAAGTCTCGGCTCTAGCCTTCACCTCGAATCGCTGTGCTCTCTTCTTTGAAGAGACAAGTGGAGGCAGGGGGTTCCAGTAGGGATGACAATGGGCCGAGTTGGGTTGGTTTTTATGAAACCCGAAGCCAAACCCATAGGTATACCCACACACAAAAAAAAAAAAAACTCGAGGTAAAACCCATTGGGTTTGAAAAACTCAAACCCAACCCAACCCGCTGGGTATCCGCGGGTTTATGGACACCCATGGGTTATGTGATAAAAAATGCACAACAACAAGTTCCTACCAAAATAAAAGTCGTTAATCATTCTTCCCATACAAATTATCTAAACAAAAAACACCAGTATAAAGCATACAAGCAAACCACAAAGTATCCATACAAATTGTTCAAAATTAAAGATAAACATCTATAAACAACACGATTAATTGAAACCTTCTTCCTCCTAGTCAACTAAACTTCTTCACTCTCCACTCCAAAATATCAACTTAATTCTACACAATTAGGAATAAAAAACTAGACATGTCTCCACAAATATAAGGAAGATTATTTGCTTAAGGAAGATTAGTATGGGGCAATGCCCAATGTGAAGTGGATAAGGGAATTGTGGTTGGGGACGTGTACGGATTGGAGCGGGTTGGATATAGCTAAACCTGAACCCAATCCAACCCGCAAAATAGTAAACGGGTTTAAACCCGAACCCGACCCATAATCCTTTAATGTGGGTTCAGGTTATGTTGCCATCCCTAGGTTCTAGGGCTTGAGCTGGATCTTGGAGGAAGGGAATCTGAGGAAATAGATCTCTAGTGAGTCACAAATCAACTAGGTTTCATCTCGACTGCAAGCGTGGGTTTGATCGGGTCCAAATGTACACATTTTACCCCTCATTTATTGAGAGTTTGACTTTGCATTTCATCGCCTCTCGACCTATTTTACGCTAGGTTGTGCTTGTTTTGTTACATTTCAGGTCCTAGGACGTGTGGGAAGGTTGAGGATGAGTTTCGGGTTGATTAGAGGACAAAAAGCGCGAAAAAGTGAAGAAAAGTCACTATGACAATTGCATCGTGACTGTGAAGCACCGAAGTTCCAGAACAGTTTGCACATCTCATTGGAGTCCAACCATTTCATTGTCGCAAGACCGTGAACTCCATCCCCAGACCGTGAAGTGACTTAGTGAAATTGTGCAACTCTGCTCGACTTCACGGTCCAAGACGAATGTTCACGGCCGTGAACTGGGACCTTGAACATGCCTCAATCTGGTTATAAAAGGGGAAGTGGGCTGAAGGAAAAAGGAGAGCTCTTGGTAGGTTTTTAGTGTGTGGAATAAAAGAGGGTTTCTAGTGAGCGATTAAGGTTTCCTCCTCCTATTCTAGAGAGAAATTGCCATTCAAAAAAGTAAGAAGGAGATATGGGCTTGCCCTAAACTAGAGGGTTGAAGGTTTCTTATTCTCAAGGGAAATTCAAGCAACAAGGATAGAAGATTGTCATCTCTTCATGGTTCTTTCTCTTCTTTTTGTTGTTTTTCTTTGCCTAGATATGAAATAGGCTACCTACTCACTTGGGTATTGTGAATCCTAGTCTAGATGTGTGTTAGGATGTCAGAACTTGATTATATTGTGTTAATTGTGTGTTCTATGTAATATTTGAAGAATTAATCATGAATGATTGAGTGTTGCTTGCATTATCTCATTATTGGGTCAAATTAACCTAGAATGTGGAAATCCCCATTTGGCCCATAGAGAGTTTGATCTCCTAGCCACTTGGGTAACCCCTTTTGGGTTGATCTAGGGCCAAAACCTCTAGTATCGGAGTAGTATCATGACTTTGACGTGATTGGTCGCTCTCTGCCATCCAGATTAAGTTCTGAGGGATTGGTTTGCAATCCTTATTCAACCGGTTTAGAGGGGGCTAGATTGTCTAGCCTATTGTTATCATCCCTAGCCGAAAGGTAAGAGAGTTAGTCTACTAACATAATGAAACAATCCTAAATTGGTCAACTAAGAGAGTTGGAGTTTCCTTGGTTGATCGGTTAAGAGAGCTAGGTTCACTAGCTTTTTGTTGCGATCCTTAATCGATCGACTAAGAGAGTTTGTCTCTAACTAGTTGCACCCGCCTCACGGTATATGAACACATCCTTCACACTAGAGTTGTGTTCATTGTTTCTTAATACGATACTAGGAGAAGCATTACCCAGGTGAAGTCCTCTCAAGTAGAAGTCTCCGCAATTTACTTTCCTTGTTTGTTTATTTTGTAGTTTTCTTAGTTTTAAACCGAAAATCTATTGCTAGATAACAACTTAAAGGGGTACATGGACCGGGCGGGTTTGATAATTAAAACATGCTTGCCCTATACTGCACCCGACTAGAGTTTATACTTGTGCTCTAATCGGGTTTTATTTCGCGGTGTATCCGTGGCGAGTCAGGGTTTCAGATTGACTACTGGAGTGGGTTTCTGCTAGATCAACTGGCCCAGTGGGTGCGTTCTAGCTCCAGCGGATCCGAGGTGATAACGAGGGCGACGACATTGCTCTGTCACTGTCCGCTCTCCGATCGCCAAGATATAGGCGGCCTCCGACGAAGGGTGGAGAGACAGAAGAGACAATGCCGAATGTCTTGATTGTCGATTGAGATGAAGTGAAGAGAGTCTTCTACTTTTTTTATTTTGTTTTTTATTTAATTATTTGGGTTTGGATTTTTTAACCCAAGTAGATCCAAGATAATGGGTATAAGTATTGACCCATCTAAGTACTTCACCCATTTATATTTGACTTGGATTTTAATAATCCAATAGGGTTGGATTATTAAAATTCATGTGTATGGGTAAAGTTGTCATCCCTAATTTCAATATTTGTTAAAATTTAATATGGCGATTGGGAACGGATCTCATGCATAACCTTGTGCTGCATACCATGCATAATTTGGTTACTCATGTTAAGTACTATAAGGTTATACACTATAAATTAAGCGCGGCGAGTGTCAGTAGGTTTCTATTAACTACTTTTGACTTTGTCTGCTGCCAATTTTCACTAGACAAATATTCTAAAATTATCAATTTATTCATGATTACTAGTATTTACTTGCTCAACTACTAGACCGGTACCATAACTTTTGTAGTTGAACACGTTATGGGGGAAGTGAATTTCTTATTTGCTATTTTTATTTGTATCAATACTGAGTGAATTTATTGTAACGTGCAGGTGAGGACTTAGGGTCATACCGATTCCATGCATGATATTGCCCCGTGGCCATGCCGTTTCTTGGTGTCAAGCTGTAAATGTCATTCTCAATAATGCTTTTTCACGAAGGAAAACATCTCTTGTCAAGTTAGAACAGAATACCTAACACCAGTTTATTTATGTAATTTTGTGTTCATTCACCTAATAATACAGTGATTTACGTAAGAGTATAAATTTTTCACGTAAATGGAAATTCATACTTTTCTCCCTAATAATTTGTATTGGCTATATTTTATGAAATTAAATTTGAATTATTATTTAATCTGTAAAAATATGTTGCATTGATGCTTGCATGAATAATCAACAATCTCTTACACGAATATCGCAAATATGACGTGAATAACCAAAATTAGCTATTTTGTCTAACAAGAGACTTCACTCTCATGAATTTCATGAGGTAAGGAGGCCATTACGTATATAAAATACATCATGCAAGCCTACAACTGAGTCAGGAAAGGCGGGTTGGATGATATTTTTAAAAATACTCACTTTTTATTTATTAGTAAGTTGATATAATTGTGATCCACTATTTATTAATTTTTTTTATTGGTTAGGTGGATGGCGAATGCAGGGGCGGAGCTAGGGGATTTTATGAGGTGTTTCAGGACTCTTCTAAAATTAGAAAAACTCGCACATCAATCCTTCAATTAGTTGTTAAAGAAGTTTATTAACATTTATAAGAAATTCTCGTAAAGTAGTAAGACTGTAGCAATTTAGAGACCATGCACTCTGTTTTCTAGGGATCCATGTAGTATTCGTATAAAATTGTTATTACTATATATATATATCAACCAGTTGTATAGATGAAATTGACAAAATTGTGAACTTGGATAAAATTAGTATTTATAATTTGCATCCCAATATCTATTGGACATTCCACAACATAATAACCAACAATAGTAGTTCAAAGGCATTATTTATTCTCTACCTGTAGAAGTCAACAGTCGGTGTGTAGTGCGGTAAGGAAACATGAAAGTTGTTCGATAATATAAACACGTCACATTTTTTCATGTCAATATAAACCCTGATCATTCGGGTGATCTGCAATCCACCTACCACCCACTCGAATAAGTACGTACGTGTAGTAGATTTATCAATTCACAATCTACTCACATCAATCACCCACCCATTTCGATTCGAATTATTTGCCTGTGGATCAGCAGAAGGATTAACCACCATGTGCCCAACCCCTACCTACAAGGCTACACAACCATGTGGTGACATTGAATTCCCGCGTTAAATTCCAAAACCAGAGCTGTGCCCTGCCGATTAAATTCCTTCCATCCGTCCCTTTGTATTTATACCCGCATCCGATGCCTCCCCGATCCAAACCAAAAATACATTCCCCTTCTTCTTTGTTTAGTTTCCTCCTCTCCTTCTTCCAAAGAGACCATAATAACATGACGAAACGAGCCTCCATTATGCTTTCTCTAGCTCTATTGCTCATGGTTTCCCAACATTACCCTGCTGCAACTGCAAGAGACGCCCCCAAGGAAATCCCATCATCATCAGCCGGGGCCGGCCTCGACGACCAAAAGAACTTCGTCGGTTTCGGTGGCGTCGGTGGGTTTGCCGGCGTTGGGGGTGCAGGTGGGCTGGGTGGAGCTGGCGGACTAGGTGGGCTTGGTGGCGATGGGCTTGGAGGTGGCGATGGGCTTGGTGGAGGACTGGGTGGTGGCGGTCTACCTGCCGGAGGTCTTGGTGGCGGCATTGGCGGCCTCGGCGGAACGATAGGCGGTGGAGGTCTCGGCAGCGGCATTGGTGCTGGCAACGGTGGAGGCGGCTGCGTCGGTGGCGCCGACACTAACGTTGTTCAGCCCTGATCGTGTTGTTTCTCGTGCACGGGAGGGCTCTTTTGTAGCTGCCAACTGCGGTAGTGGCGGTCAAACTTAGTTGCGTTGTATTTTTCCTTTTTTTAATCTGGTGCATCTGTTTCTGTTTCGTATCACTGAGTAATATGTGTTACGTTGGGCTTTTCTCGTGTTAATTAAGCATGTACTACTATTTCACTTATGTTAGTTTTTCCGTTCCTGGCAGTTCATTCAATTATGTATCCTTGTCATGACTCGTTAACGAAGACTGACATATCAAAAGCTTTTTGTTTGTTTTTTTAAGGTCAAAGCTTAAAAAAAATTGTTTTTTTACTAATTAATTAAGAATTTTGTAAAATCAATGTTCACGAATCCGTCCTAAGAGATTTGATAATGACTCGTTCAATCATCACTAACCCTTAAAACATAAGTTGATAATGACTCATTCAATCAGCTCACTGAATAGTAACTAATGAATGTAGACTAACCTCATAATGTTTACGTATCCACCGGATAATTAGTAATTCAAGAATCAATATCATTACCACTATTGTTAAAGGCTTAAAGCCGACGCGGACCGGTCGGTCGGACCGATAAAACCGGCACCCAGTCACCAGTCCGGTCTGAATCACCCTTAGAATCGTGGCGGCCAGAAAGATCGGTCGGTGAGCAATTGCGTTGGTTAACGGCTGGAACCGTTCAAATCGTCTGATCGATTCTTGACTTCTGATCATCTGGTTAAAAAAATATAAAAAAAATATTGAATTTAGGGTTGAGTCGAGTGGGGCTTCTCATTTTAGCCATTAAATTGTTAAATTACTACCTTATATGTCTTCTACTTATAATATTATTGTTTATAAGATACTGATTTTCTAACGATTTTTGAATGGTCTAATACCGATCAGACCACTAAAATGTGAGCGTCACATTGCCGGGTAATGCTCCGGTTTGGTTCTAACTTCTAACTACATTCACCAACTAGCAACAACTATAACCCAATCTACTACAAATCCAACTCATAATTTGAAAGATTTAGAGAAAGTTAGATAAACTCTTGCGATCTAGTCACCTAATCATGCTCTCTATCATATGAGTTTCTTCTCAACAGCTATTCACATGTTGACGGAGAGCAATGAAGCGAGGCAAAGATAGCAAACTTTATCTGGATAGTATAAAAACAATGACGTACAAGGATAACATGATCCCCAATCCACTACCCTTAAGAAATTTATATATTTGTGGATACGTGGCTTGCATCTGGCTTCTTGAGTCTGATGGTGGCCAAAAGGAGAGTATGATTTGATTCGATCACGGGGTATAAAAATTTTAAGCATCAATCTTATGAATATCGATCTAATTTGGTTCACTTGGATAGTTCTAATCTCTGAGTTTATTCACTCGTAACATTAGTAGCGTGTGCGTTGTAAACTGGGTCAACTCGAATAATACTCTAAATGTCGTTTGAATGAGGTATTTGAATGAGTGATTTGAGCATAATATCACAAACAAAAAGAATAAATATCATGGGCGCGATCTTAACTTGTAGCTGTGATCCCTCTGTTTATTGCCACGAAATATCACAAACAAAAGAGGTGGTTCATGGTTGCCGTCTCCAAGTTGTTTAATAGTCAACTTTAGAACACGGTTCATGATCATGATCTTTAAGGTCTAGTCGTGAACTTCTGAAATTTCTCACTTTATCATTTACAATTACTGACTCGTTTCTACTAGCACTACTATCCCAACCGTGGCCAAGTGAAACCACGTTCGAGTGTAGTGTAGTGGAATTGAATTTAATTATCAACCTGGTGGCAAATATCTATTGCTTCATGGACTAACTTTTTTATCTAGTATATAAATCGAAGTGCAAATTAACGAATCAACTACAAAAACAAATAAAATAAGTTTGATTGAAAACTATAGTGAGATAGTCACTTGGGTGTTGTTTCCTTTAAGTTGCAGGATAGACCGAAAAATAATGATCCAAGTTTGTCAACTCATGATTGAGTTACTCAAAGACGTCACATTGAATGGACTATCTGGAGGAGAGTTGCCACATCCGACGAAATAGAACGTCTAGGGCGTGCCACATAGGATTCCCTCTATTGGAATACGATCCAATATGCCATTATATTGAAACCCAATTCAGGCTTGATCCATTGACCCACAATGAAGAATAAGGTAAGTGATCTAATTTACCTAATTTGATATATTCTACGTCAGGTTAATAGTCATAATTGAAAGGATTTGATCAATACCCAACATAATTCATGAAGTAACTCAAATCTATATATAATCAAGAGTCAATCAGAGAAGGAAATCAACCATTCATCTAATCTAATCTAATATAATCGGGTTAATTGCACTGCATACCACATAAGTATTGATTTCGTTGCATGCTAACCACTCAAGTTTTTTCAGTTGCAACTAAACCACACAAGTTGGCTTTCGGTTGTATCATCACATTTTCCGTCTTTAAACTTAACAGCGGTGACTAAGTTGTAAATTTCCATTCCACATAAGCATCCCAACTCAACGGTGAGTCAGATAGTGGGCGGGAACATGACACTAAAACCTCTATTTTCTTGTTCTTCCTACTCTTGTCCCGTAAAAATCCCACAAGCAACCACTATCTTCCTCCATCTTCACCCGCATCACACCAGCAGCCCTCTAATATCCCTTCGCTCCCCATTGTATTGGTTCTCCTTCCCTCCTAATATCACCCACCCAGCAACCCTTCGATTGTTTGCGTATCAAATTTTAGTGTCTGATAGCCTCTTTATGAATCATCATTATCCATATGTAATTGACAGTACTTGTACAAAAACTTAGCAGACATTAATATGTATAGATTTAGTGTTATAGAGAGCTAACTAACAAAGGTGCATTGCTTTTATTGAAACAATTAAAGTTTGATTCAGAAATCAGGAGAGCTAAAAAGATGGTTCCATGATTCATCAAAGTAAAGCTTTGATCCAACTTCACAACCCCAATTCATTCTGATAACCCTTACAACAATTAATGCTTGAAAACTACCTATTTCAACAATTGATGCCTGTGCATGAACAAACAGGAACAACGACTAAATTACACGTTTGGTCACTCGAATTACACATATCTTTCACGTTTGCCACCCAAATTACTTTTCTTTCTTATTCGCCACTAACTTTACAAATCGTTTTAGCCGAATTACTTTTCTTTCTTATTCGCCACTAACTTCACCTCCATCATTGACATTGTCGTTGCCCACGAAATGATTCGTAAAGTTAGTGGCGAATAAGAAAGAAAAGTAATTCGGGTGGCAAACGTGAAAGATATGTGTAATTCGAGTGACCAATAGTGTAATTTAACCCAGGAACAACAAAAGAATTGAACAAAAACAAAGCAATACTTTATCAAACGCAAAACAGAGCAATACTTAGCCATCAAAAGAAAGCACAACTTTGCTTACTTATTTCTTCATCAACCCGTCTACAAGCTATCTTCGTCAACCTTCACTTTTGAAGCTCTAAGAAGAAGAATAAAAAATAACCAAGCAATCAAGAATCATAGGAAAAATGGAAATAATAAATCATTAATGCAGCTGCAAGTTTGAGTGAATTGCCAGAAACAATGAAGGTGTTGTTTTTCTTCTTCTTCAGCAATACTCCGATAGCTTTTTGTTTTTGTTTCCCTTGTTAGTTTTGCTTTGTTATTTGACCAGGGGTTGAGTTTCATGTATTTTCAATTATTGTATTAGGAAGTAGGAAAAAAGGAAGGGGAAGATTATGAAGATCAACTCTTTTATTGCTCTGATAAAAAATTCTTCCATTTGTGGGCCCTAGTGAATTTGGTGACTCACAATCTGACTCAGCAATCAGATTGAGTTGGAATGACACCTGGCATAAAAAAGTTACAATTTGGTACCCACTGTTATGTTTAAGGACGGAAAAGGTGATGATACCAACAGAAGCTGACATAAATGGTTTAGTTGTAACCAAAGAAATGTAAGTGGTAAGTATACAACGAAAGCAATACTTGTGTGGTATGTCATGCATTTAACCCTAATATAATCTAACACATACAATCAGAATTCCAAAACACCCAAGTGATAGAAATTTTAGCTCGTGATGAGACAGAAATGCACCAAATCAAGATAAGAAAACATCCTAAAAAGTTGGATTCTTGCTTTTGCACTTTAATCTCCAACCCTTGGTGATGGATTAATTGAACTAAAATGATGATTTGAAGCTCCAATTCTCCACCTAGGGATCTTCTTCATCACTTTCTCTCCCTACCCAGCATATGAACTTTACTCTAGAATTCTCTCCTCAAAATCTAATTTCTTCTTCTTTATATAGCCTAGAAGTGCAAAATTCACGATCACCCATCATGGCCGTGAGATTTGCAGCCAAACCGTGATGAGGTTAACTGAGTTCTCACTGTATCACTTACATATATACTTCACGATTTTGGTGCAATTCTCACAGTTTTGCAGTGGTGAGGTTTACATGCAGCCCCGAGATGAAAGATGCCTATTAGAAGTGTGGGATCTTCACAGTTTGTAATTTTCATGGTTGGCAAACTCTGACATCTTCAAATGCCTACGAGATGCATCTGGCCTCCTGGAACATATGTAATCCTCGCGATTTTAGTGTGAATGTCACGGCTTGCCCGTGAGAATTAAGAAAATGGAAAAAGGCCATCATTTGAAAATGGTGACATGAGAAGAGCCCGCAGGAAGCCCCTACAGTCTGTGTTGTATGTAAATATTATTCATAGTATATTAGGCAAACACTCAACTATATTTATGAAAGGAATTATGTAGAAGATCCAACAAAAAAGGAAATTTTGTATAAAAAAAGAACACTTTGTGCGAAAGAAATGACATATACCTCTCTTATATTTATTTAAATAACAGAGAAAAAGTTTGATTCCATTACGAAACGAAATTTTGAGTTGACTATGGTATTGCATGATTTCATCGATGAAATTGATGTGATTATATAAAAAATCTTTTGATTGGTTAATTGAATTGTGTGAATAGATAGGTTATATCTGGGAATTCAGTTGCAGTTTTGCGGTTAAAGCGCTAATCGCACCGAAACCGCGCGGTTAGTGGCTAACTGCAAACCGAAAAATGGTGTATTTTGCTGTCGCGGTTAGCAATATTGAATGTTTTGTGGTTTGCGGGTTAACCGAAACTGCAACTGAACAATATGTAACCTTATTTTAACCGATTACTAACGCGATTACCTACAGTCAACCACGGTTATTGCGGTTAACCGTGACACAACCATAGACCAAAATGTCCCCAAACCATAAGAATGTTAAGTAATGCGGTTAAACGCGGTTAACTATTAATCGCACTTTGCGGTTAGTGGTTAACCGCAAACCGTTTGCGGTGCAGTCGCTGTTGGCGTATATGACTAGGTTTCGGTTGCGGTTAACCGCAAATTTTAGTGCGTTTAACCGAAACCGCACCGATTCCCAGCCCTATGACGAACTATGGTTGGTTTAGTGGTAATACCACTAACCTAGAAGTTTGAGATCTTAGGCTTGAATTCCTTAAGTAATAGTACTTTAATCACAAAAAGGTAAAATCTATATCACCATTATAAAAAAAAATAATGACGAACATGCGCGAAATTACTTTTCCGGTGAAACCGAGCAAGCGAGTGAAGCGAGGGAAATTCGACGGCGAGACATTACTTCTTTATTCCGTCGAATCTCTTTGCCGGTGGATTGGGTGACGGTGATTGGGGAGGACACTCAGCTTCTGATGGGAATGAAGCATGAATACCCATGTCAATCCTCCCACGAAACGAACATGTTAAACTCCATATGCATCAGCTTAGGGAAAGCAATCTTGCTCAGTTACTTTTATTACTTGATGATGATAATCTCTGCTTGATGTCCAGAAACTCGACTCCTATATTCTTCGGGGTTTAGAGATTTTAGTTTTAAGGGTGTTTGTTTTGTTGGTTTTCGATTAATTTATTAAGGTTAATCTAGTAGTTTTATATTTTAATTTAGGACGATAATAGTAAAATTAGGGCGACGTTTAGCCATTCAGAAAAAAAAAATTACATATAAAAAACCATATTTGATAGGGGTAAACGAAGAAAACTTTGAACGGTAGAGAAGTTTGCAATCTACTGAATACAGCGTGGAAAGCTGAGGAATTGAGAAAGAAAAAAAAAATACATATATAACAGGTTGCAGGAATGGAGTAAGAAAACAGTAAAGAAACTCCTCCTACATATTCGTGCTTCGTTTATTGAGAAGAATAGTTTTGGGCCACACTATCAATGCATGGACGAGAGAAGACGTCGGACACCGCAGCAGTCGGCTTTTATTTCTACAGCCTTTCTTGCGCCATTAGGTCTGCATCTCTCCCTCTATAAATTCAACCCATCCTTCATTTCTCATCTGAATGTTAAATTAATAAAGAGCTATATAAGGTAAATACGTACGTAGTTTATCCAAATTAATAAAAATTTTTGAGGAAAGGAAGTAAATGGCGACCCAAGCTTTGATTAGGAGGACCTCGAGGGCTGCTTTTGTCTCCAGGCACATTCAGGTACCATCCATATCACCCATGTACGTACTTTCAATTAAAAAAATGAGCCTACGTAAAAAAAAATGTGTGCTTCAGTTAATAATGATATACAACTCGTGTGTGTGTGTTTTTTGTGATTTTAGTTGTGGTTGTTTGCATCCACATTTATTTCGTTCACCATGGATGAACAAACACTGTAACTCATTCTTCACATAGTATATTTAGTGATGACAATGTGACGGTGTGGGTATCTCAATTTTCATACCCCACCCCATACTACTGGTCGGGGTGGGTAAAAACTGCGCGGAGGCCGGGCGGGTCGACCACCCACACTTATATGTTATTCGGGAAAAAATGCAAATTTTACTTTTTACGAATAAATGAAGGGAAAAACACTTTATGAATGATAAAACAGTGATAATAGAATGGGTAATTGAGTCTAACATGTTGAAAAAATGACTCTAACTAGAACGGGACGGGGCAGAGACGTGTCGGAAGTAGATACTCATACCCTGCCCCATGCTACTGCGGCGCCCCATCACGGGTCAGGTCGGCAAATACCCACAGGCCGCGTTCAAATTCCCATCACTACTGTATATTACCAATTTCAATTACTAGGAGACCCGTTATACTAATTTTGTGTTTTCATCACAAGTTGTGGGAAGTTTTTACTTCGCTAGGAAAGGAAAGAAGCATCACTCCGTTTCAATCCAATATTGTCATTTCTTGCAGACGAGTGCACGCCGGGATGCGGCCTCTACAATCGACTCGGCCGCTCAGGCGACCAAGAAGGGAGCTGCAGAGGCAAAGAAGGTTGGGGAGGAAGTGAAAGACAAGGCCGCCTGTGCTGCTGGAGATGTATTTCTCTACCGTTAACCTATGTTCATCACCACTTACTCGTCGTATATATGCACGAGTACGATTGAGATATGCATCACAAAACAAATAATCGACCTTTCACAAATTTACATGATGGATGGACAGATGTCCCAGAAAGGCAAGGAAGTGGCGGGAGACGCAGCAAATGTGGCCCAGAACGTGACCGAAAAGGCAAAACAGACGGTCCAAGGAGCGTGGGGAACGATGAAGGACACGACACAGAAGATCAAAGAAAGCGTCATGAACAAAGCAGGCGAGTCCAAAGAATGCGTCAAGGAAAACGCAGATGCTGTGAAGCGTAACATAAACTCCAAGAAGTCGGATCTCTCATAATAATCAAACTAATTAAATAACACATCGTCCCCATTATTATTCTATATATTTCAAACATATACATATATACATGGAGACGTAATTCCTTTTTTTCACAGAATATACATATCGAGTTATTTATACAATTAAAGTACGAGCTAGGCATGGTTTTTTTAATTTTATTGAAACGTATTGAACAATTAGATCCAATACGGTCCAATAAAATTCCTATCAGATTGTTTTGAAATTTTGTTCGAGTTCTTTACACTGCATTACAAGTATTTAGAAATTACTTGCAAGCGATGACAACAAATAAGTATGTACTATTTTCTCTACTATGAATTGTAAATAAAAAAGGTTACCATTTGGTTGAATAAAAAAACCAATTTGTCATGATTAAGTTTCTGCAAAAGTTTTTAGAGCATTTGTTGAATGGCTTCCAACTACGAGCAATACTTAGGTTTAATACACTTGTATATCCAAAATTTTCACGATTGTGCCAATAATATCCAAATTTCCCAAAATACCACTTATATCCATGTTTTAAAATTGTTCTTTGACAAATCTATCCATTTCCCAATATATTTTTTGGTTAAATACACTTGTATATCCAAAAACACCGTTAAAGAATGTGAAGGAATTGAATATAAGTGGTATTTCGAAAAATTTGGATATTATTGGCACAACCGTGAAAGTTTTGGATATACAAGTGTATTTAACCCAATACTTATCACATATAATCAGTAGATCGTATACAAAGTTTGAGAAATATTATTCATCCAATTTAACTTAGGTGGGAGGAGGGTAACGAGGTGAAGTTGAAATACCAAGCTAGTTATTTTGTGTTGGGAATTTGTTTGAATTGGACCAATTGGTCAAACCGGTTTGGATCAAAAATATCAAAATGGTTTGGGGTTAATCGGCTAGATCATATATTATAATTCCACGAAATGATACGTCCCTCTGTTTAGTGACGATTGCATTGTCATGGCTAAGGCTAACATTTCATAAAACAATGTTTCATGGATATATACAAACTTTAGCGGAACAAATCATTGTGTTTTTATAGATAAAAATAACTTTTCATGAAACAAAGCATTGCATTTTCATGAATAATGACAAGTTTTATGAATTAATGTATTTCAATTTCATGAATAAAGGCAAGCTTTCATCAAAAAATGCAAAGGTTTCAAGTTGAAAATAGTGCATGAATCTGGTCCTTATACATATATGTGTGGGGAGAATGATACAACTACACCATCAAAACTTATTCGTCTAATTGCACATGTTTTCACCTTGTGCTCTTGTGGTGTTTGAGGCATTTTCGTCGCTTGATGTTCGATTTTACGCTAAGGTTGTGCATGTTTCCAGTATGTTTCAGGTTCTAGCATGTGAGATTGGCCTTGGAAGCGAAAGCTGAACGAAAGAGGGCGAAAACGGATCAAAAAGGGAAAATAAGCGAAGATCACGATTAGAATAACTTTATTACGGTCAGCTGACCGTGAAGAAGAGGGATAGACCGTGAAGCTCACTGACGACTAGAGAGTTTTGCGCACCTCGTGGGCTTAAAAGTTGTCACCGTCACCAGACCGTGATAATCTTATCCAAATCATGAATGTCGTAAATGAAACGGTACGTTTTGACCCGACATCAAGGTCCAAGCCTCAAGATCACGCCTATGATAATTGACCGTGATGTGCGCCGACTTGGGTATAAAAGGAGAAGGAAGCTAAAACTTGAAGGGGGTCCTAGTAATAGAATATCTCAGCAGAACGTCGTATGATTCTCAGCTAGATTCGAGAATCCACTTCTGCAAAAATTAGGAAAACCATTCTTTCTAGCAAAACGGCCTTGGAAGCATGAAAAAGTTTACAAATCTCATCCGGATTGCTGAACTTGAAAAAGCACCGTCATCTCTCCAGCAAGGTAACCAACCCACCACTGAATATTATGCTAACAATTAAACTAAATATTTTTGTCAAATAGTAGTGTAAACCTCAAGAACCCGTGAACCAAAGAACGAAACCACCCATACCACCACGATGGCGACCAAAATGGCTGTATGCCACCTTTTTTTACCCCTTTGACCAGCCATCTCTTTCCCACTTCCCCACTACTTTTGCACACATCCTCACGTATTAACTCCGTTTCTGTTGACCTCAACCCCTCCAAAACCTCCAAAATTTATTTCAACCCTTCACCGAAACTACTCCATTCTCTATCACCACCAGTCCACTTCCCCAACCTTAACATCACCTTACCCAACCATTTCCCCACATAAATCTCAACACAGCTTTACCATTTCAAAAATTGGCGCCCAAAAGCACCCTTCTAGTCGTCCCTTTTCATCCATTTTGCTTCGATTATTACCTTGCTTCAAGGTTAATTTTATTGATTTTAAGATCCGTTTAAAAATGGCTAGTGTAGTGGCTATAAAAATTGTTGTTCTCGTATAAGCAAAATGTTCTTGTTGTGCGGACGAAGAGTTACTATATCCAAATTTTGTACAATTATTAGTACGTTGTGGTAGTTGTCCGTTGCAAAATTCAAATTTTTTTTTTTTTTTTTTTAACAAGGAACCGGGTGCATCAATGAATCTGTGTTGTCGATAAGAGCGAGCGCAGAGCAATAATGAAAGGCTCCCAGTCCCCAGCTAGCTAGCTAGCTAGCTCTCGTTCTGGCCTCGAAAAATTGCGCCATACCATACGTACACACACAGATGACAGAAACATAAATATCCGAACCAGCATTTAACCTAACCCCATATTTACTTCTGCCAACCACCACCCACCGCTCCACTTTCCCCCGCCTTTAAAAGGGCTCGGCCTCAGCAGCAACACCAACGCCCAACATTCACTCAAAAACTAAAATGGCGAAGTCGGCAGTTGCTCTCTATTTCCTTGTTGCTATTCTCGCCGCGGTGCCTAGCCACGCCGGCAGGCACGTCCCAGGCCCAGCTGGCACTACGAACGAAGTGGTCGCCGGAGCCGGTCCCGCTGGCGCTGGCGCTGGTGTGGGTGACGAGAAGAACTTCATGACGTACGGAGGAGTTGGCGGCGTGAGTGGGGTTGGCGGCAACGGGCTTCCCTTCGGCGGCGTGGGTGGACTCGGTGGCGTCACCGGACTCGGCGGTGCTGGTGCTGGAATCGGAGGTGGAATCGGTGGCGGCTTCCCGGTCGGCGGCGACGGAAGCGGGCTTGGTGGGTTGGGTGGACTTGGTGGGCTGGGTGGCCTTGGCGGCGGCGGTCTCGGAGGCTTGGGTGGCGTCGGCGGTGGCGTGGCTGGAGGCGTGGGAGGTGGCGCTGGTGCCGGCGGTGGAGTTGGTGGCGGAACCGGAGCTGGGGTCCTCCCTTACCCTTGAGAGACTTTAGCTAGCGCATGCATGCATGCATGCATGGATGTAGTAACATTATTGTCACGCTGTCGAAATATGAAGTAGTGTTATTTCTGTTGTCGGTTTTTTCTTTCCTTGTAGTCTGTTGTGTCTCTGTGTCTTGCTTTATTATTGTGTATCTTTCTTTAGATGTATGTCGGAGTCATGTGTATCTTCAGCTTGTGTTTGAGCTGGTATTATTGACTATTGCGGGGGGTTTAATGTCAATGTGTAATTCTCTCGTCGTGTTGTCGCTACATTTGACTTCGAATGTTTCTTACAAATGGAGTGAGTTAATTAATTTATTAACTAACAATCTTGATTAAGGAGATGAATCATAATTCATAACTGCGTATATAATTAGCTGAAACAGAAATAACGTACATCCATCGAAAACGTGTAGTATTCCCACCTCGAAAATACTTCTCCCTCCACGTATAAAAAGCAGAAAATTATTAATCCACCTCCGTACGGTCGGCAGGTGGAACTTTTTTTAGCTTCTATAAGGTTTAGGCTTGATAACTACTAATATAGTATAGTTTTGGGTAACCCTTAATTATCATCAGGATGTTTGGGTTTGGCAGATAGATCATAAATAAAATACGGAGGGAAACTGACTGACTGCCCTAAGCCGGCCAGCTGGTTTCTCATCTCCGAAACAAGGAAAAGCATGGTCAAGTGGAGACTGGCCAACCAGCTAGATGCCTGACATATTTATTACGTTTGGTAAAACCTCCCATTTATGACTTCAACCAACGCTACTGTTGCCCAACTGATAGCTGCTTCCCTTTACTACTACACCAAACCAAAATTTCCTTAATTAAACAGGAATGTCTCAAGGAGTTAGTGGCTGGCGCATACAAAGAGATCAAAGTCGTGATCTTGAAGCTCAGGTCGTGAACCCTAGCAAGTGTTTCCCCGGGAAAACCAAATGCCACCGCCGGTGCCGAATTCGTTTCCGGCAATGTTGATTTGATGTTTCGGGGTGGAAACTTTTGCGGTGCCGTTTGATCGAATGCACCGCTGATTGCAGAAATCGAGACGACCGTCAAATATCCGCCGCCGAATGTCGGCGCCGTTGATTTGATCGATGCACCTCTAAATGGTGAAATCAACGTGATCGTCAAATATCCACCGCCGGGCGGTGTTGATTTGATCGATGCACCTCTGACTTCTAACCAAGAACGACCGTCACTACGGTTCGCACCTCTCCAAACTACGTTCGAACGAGGGTGTTTGAGTTTTGAGGAATCTACACTACCGCTACTCCTATGGAGATTCCTGTGGAGAGCTCCGCGACTACGACTAACACTACAACTATGGAGATCCTTCCTGGAAGGAGAGCTCCGCGAAGGAGTTACAGAGAAAAGGTAAAGTTTTGACAGAGTTGTTCTGTGTTGATTTGGTTGTCCTCTTTCTCTCTCCTTGCTCCGCTGCTTTTATTTGAAATCACTTGCGTAATCTTCACGCTAGGTGGAACCGCTTCCTCAACTGCTCCGTCCTGAAATCCCACGTGTCTCAACTGCCTTGATCTCCTCTTTCTGCTTTGCGTAAAAGTCACGTGCACTCGAAACCGCTCCTGTTTGCATAAACTTGGCGAAACGACGTTGAGCCAAATCCTACAACCTTGTCCATGTAACGATGTCGTTTCACCAATACCGCGACATCACCTTTCACTAATCGATACCGTTTCATAATCACCACTCAATTGTCTCGACCCGGTTTGACCAACAACACCGTTAGCCTATTATACAACGTCGTTTTCCAGTCTTGCGCTGTCGTTGGGCTTGGCGAGCCGCCTTTGGCCGAACTCTGACGCGGTGTCGTTTTACCTTTCTGCGGCCTCGCTTTTCAAACGATGCTGTCAAACAATGTCGTTTTCCATTCCGCGACATTGTTTTGTTTTTCAACCAAACCGTACCGTTGGTCTTTCCGCGGCATCGCTAAAAGCGGTACTGTTGTTCTCATCTTGCAGTGCAGTTTGTCTTGCCGGGACTCGCCAAAATCCAACCCGTCGTGGTATGGTCTCGAACGCCTAGCAATATCGCGGCGTTGTTGATGCTTTAAGCGGTGTCGTTTTGATATTAAACGACTCCGCTTCCAGCCTTGCGGTGTAGTTTTCTTCCCCAACCAGCCGTTTGTTTTTTTTTTCTTCCGCGACACTGTTTATTAGTAAACACTGTCGTTTGCTAGTATAGCGGTACCGTTTTAAATTCTGCGGCACCGTTTTAGTTCTCCGCGGTGCCGCTTCTCCCTATCCAACAAGGAATAAAAAATAATAATAATTAATTAGAGTAAACAAAACTCCTTCCCCAACTACGACTAAATGCGCGGCCCCTCTTTTGTTTTTTGGTGACCGGTGCCGTTTCCAGTGTCGCGGTACCGCTGAGCTTCCTTGCAGTACCGTTTTTTGTTCCGCGGTATCGCTTAATTTCAAACGACGCCGTCTTTTACCCACGGTATCGAATTAAATGCCGAGACTAATTAATGCTGCATTTAATTTCGGCCGAATTAATTTTTAGGTGTCAACAAATGCCCCCCACAATTTGCTTTATAAGGATTATGAACCAAATTGTTGACCAAATATTATAACACCTAAAATACTTGGCTCAAAGTGTTTAAACGAACTGAACACGTAGGCCAACGTTGGCAATGAAGTCTTTAATTACCAATTATATAATCCTCATGCATGGCGAAATGATTTTGGCCGCCAGTATTGCGGCTAATCGCACCAATTCGGCCACGCGGCCAAACTTCTCTTTTTTCCCTCTACCAGCGCTGGCATCATTAATTAATACAATAATATATTTTTTTTTCTTCCCGCCAGAGCTGTTTGAAAATAGCGGCAGTGCTGAGACCCCTTTTTTCCTTAATTGTCATCAGGGCTGTTAGCGGCCCGCGCTGCATGCATAATATATATATATATTTTTTTTATTTTTGGCCGAACAGTGTTGGCCACAACATCTCCCTTTTATTAATTTTTTTTTATTATTATTTTTCATCTAACAGGGCTGTAAAACAACCCACAGAGACTTTCTTTTTTTTTTTTTCATCAGCGCTGTTGTTAGCTCACAGCGGCAGCTCTGCCAAATTTTTTTTTTTCAGGCCTGTATGGCCGCCCCTCTCCCTCTTTCTTTATTTTTTTTTTAATCACCGGCACCGTTAGCAACAGCAGCACTACATGCAAAATTTTTTTTATTTTTTTTATATTTTTTTTTCAGGTCTGTTTGTGCCGCTCTTCCCTTTGCCCCTTTTTTTTTAATTTTTTTTTCCAGGGCTGCTTGGAAACAGCCGCAGCGCTGAGAAGCACTCTTTTTTTTTTCTCTCTTCACGGCTGCTTGGCCGCAACTGAGAAAAAAGGTTTTTTTTTTTTTGTAACAATGTAGCAGACCTGTCGGCCTCTTTCTGTCAACCACCAAATTTTTATCTTCAGGGCTGCTTGGCGCAACTGAGAAAAAAAATTGTTTTTTTTTACAGCATTGTGCATCCTTCCAACGATGTTGAAAAAAAGAGAAAACAACATTGCTTGACGTTTTGAATTATTGTCAACGATATTGTGGCTTCTTCTTAGCAATGCCGCTTGATTCTATTGTATAATATTTTCTCTATAACACATTAGGTGGCCTAATTTAGCCACGTTATTTATTAACAGTTAAATAAGAAACAAACTAGACTTTGGCATAAACCATCATGCCAAAAGTCCACACCCACTGCCAACTCCATGGATCAAACCAAACAAGCCATCCGTAAAGTCCATGATTCATCACAGATGGCTTCACACGCGTTGGTTTTGATGTTTTGGAATCAATGTTGGCTTGCAAATCCCCAGTTCGTCTAGCTAGAACATCTTTGTTAGAAACTCCATGATCCTGATTTGGCCTAATCTTAGCTTCGCGGACTAGAAAACCATAAGCATTCTTGTGTCTAGACAGGACATTCCCGTTTTTTGGCACCTTTGTCTTGCCAATTCGATCATGCGACATCGCTTGCCTAGACTGGTCTAGTTTTGTCAGCTTCGCACTCTCACCATGTGGTTGGTAGCATGAGCGCCGAGACTTTTCATCAACCGGTACGTTGGTACTTTGCTTAGCACAAACATGACTTTTGCACCTATCACACAACAACGTTGCTCCTTTTAAAATTCCACGTGAGTTTGGAATTTGTTTGGCATTGGCCTTGCGCCCCTGGCCACCACTCATAGCAGACTTGTTCCTCATAAGCACTGGTGTTGCAACTCCCTGTCGTGCTTGACCGAACTTGCCCCCCCTGTCCACTCAATAAAAACTTCGGGGATGATTTACGTGAATGATCATGTTGAGTCATGCCAACTTTGTTGGCATTAGATTTTTCTACGTGGTTAACATCCCCACACCGAAGAGTATTTGAGGAAACCATTGTTAGATTTTTCCTCGAGCAGGGTGGGTGTGGCAAACTTCTTTGCCACCCACGATGTTGTTTCTCCTTCAATCTACCACGAGCTGGGATGGCATGCCCCCCTAGCGGCTTAGATTGAAGAATGTGGTAAAATTTGTCATCTTTCAAGACTTCACACTTGTTTTTCTTAATTTTCTGAAACTTATTATGAACACGTTTAAATTTTGTTCTTAGTTGTGACTTTCGCAAGACCGCTCTAACTTTCCTGTCCTTCAAAACAATAGTGTTCACAGGAGAACCAACATGAGATTTGTTGGCCCCTAACGCCACTGTTTTAGCCACAAGTTTAAGTGAATCCTTATTGGCAATACCGGAAACATGTTCATCTATCATCTCAAAAAAATTATCCATATGTCTTCCAAGAGAATCACACGGCTTATTTAAAGAGATAAAATAGAGATTTACCTGCTGGTAATACTCCTCCACGGCTCGACGAAGAGACAAGAGTGCAACATGCCCGTCAGTGCTCGACATGGATTGAGGCCACTCCTTCATCCGACCGATATGTCCATCCGCCTCGTCCGCCTGACCAACTTCAATATTGGTCCTTTGCTCGTCCAGAAATTGTTGTGGAAGATCGCAATCTTGTTTTTCTCGCCGCAGAGCCATTTCAAACACACGTGTCCCACCAGGTGTGCCAAAATGTTTCCCCGGGAAAACCAAATGCCACCGCCGGTGCCGAATTCGTTTCCGGCGATGTTGATTTGATGTTTCGCGGTGGAAACTCTTGCGGTGCCGTTTGATCGAATGCACCGCTGATTGCAGAAATCGAGACGACCGTCAAATATCCGCCGCCGAATGTCGGCGCCGTTGATTTGATCGATGCACCTCTAAATGGTGAAATCAACGTGACCGTCAAATATCCACCGCCGGGTGGTATTGATTTGATCGATGCACCTCTGACTTCTAACCAAGAACGACCGTCACTACGGTTCGCACCTCTCCAAACTACGTTCGAACGAGGGTGTTTAAGTTTTGAGGAATCTACAACTATGGAGATCCTTCCTGGAAGGAGAGCTCCGCGAAGGAGTTACAGAGAAAAGGTAAAGTTTTGACAGAGTTGTTCTGTGTTGATTTGGTTGTCCTCTTTCTCTCTCCTTGCTCCGCTGCTTTTATTTGAAATCACTTGCGTAATCTTCACGCTAGGTGGAACCGCTTCCTCAACTGCTCCGTCCTGAAATCCCACGTGTCTCAACTGCCTTGATCTCCTGTTTGCATAAACTTGGCGAAACGTTGTTGAGCCAAATCCTACAACCTTGTCCATGTAACGATGTCGTTTCACCAATACCGCGACATCACCTTTCACTAATCGATACCGTTTTATAATCACCACTCAATTGTCTCTATCCGGTTTGACCAACAACACCGTTAGCCTATTATACAACGTCGTTTTCCAGTCTTGCGCTGTCGTTGGGCTTGGCGGGCCGTCTTTGGCCGAACTCTGACGCGGTGTCGTTTTACCTTTCTGCGGCCTCGCTTTTCAAACGATGCTGTCAAACAATGTCGTTTTCCATTCCGCGACATTGTTTTGTTTTTCAACCAAACCGTACCGTTGGTCTTTCCGCGGCATCGCTAAAAACGGTACTGTTGTTCTCATCTTGCAGTGCCGTTGGTCTTGCCGGGACTCGCCAAAATCCAACCCGCCGTGGTATGGTCTCGAACGCCTAGCAATATCGCGGCGTTGTTGATGCTTTAAGCGGTGTCGTTTTGATATTAAACGACTCCGCTTCCAGCCTTGCGGTGTAGTTTTCTTCCCCAACCAGCCGTTTGTTTTTTTTTCTTCCGCGACACTGTTTATTATTAAACACTGTCGTTTGCTAGTATAGCGGTACCGTTTTAGTTCTCCGCGGTGCCGCTTCTCCCTATCCAACAAGGAATAAAAAATAATAATAATTAATTAGAGTAAACAAAACTCCTTCCCCAACTACGACTAAACGCGCGGCCCCTCTTTTGTTTTTTGGTGACCGGTGCCGTTTCCAGTGTCGCGGTACCGCTGAGCTTCCTTGCAGTACCGTTTTTTGTTCCGCGGTATCGCTTAATTTCAAACGACGCCGTCTTTTACCCACAGTATCGAATTAAATGCCGAGACTAATTAATTCGGCATTTAATTTCGGCCGAATTAATTTTTAGGTGTCAACAGCAAGAAATTACGCATATAAGCAAAAGTTTTTA